AAAATCGAGCGTTCTTATTGAAAGACCCTATATAATAACATTTTCTTATGATTATAATATGAAATACATTAATAATAATGTTTTGCATTATTTCATGTCCACAAGTTTTTCAATAAGCCATTTCCTTGTGATTCATACATAGTGAGGACAAATTAATAAGCCAATCGAAAACATGGACCGATGGCCAGACTCTATTTTTCTAGGGACCTAGATTGTCAGCGTTAATAGGAAATTTTTGTAATAATGTGAATCCAAATACGGTGAAGTCGCTAAAGCCATGTTATTCTTTTTTTAATTAATTATTAAAAAGGAGATAACGTTATATTGTTAGATGAATCAGTCAGAAGCATGCGCGTCCAATGTAGCTAGAAATTGGTCACTAGTAAATAGGAGATCATTAGTCATCTATGTAAAATTTTTTCAAAAATGTTGAAAATTTTAATATATTTATTTTAATATATTTAATATATATAATATATTTAATATATTTTTCATATTTTACATGTATACATGTATAGAAATATATATATTTATATATATGTATATATATGTAAAGTATGTAAAATATATTAAAGTTTTCAACATTTTCAATCCTGAGCGAATAATGATCTCCTATTTACTAGTGGCCGGTACGTTACTAAAGCTACATTGGATGCTCATATATCTGAAACTCAACCGTCTAACACTGAGATAACGTGACTTTAACTTGGAGCTTTAGACAACAGCGCATTGATGCAGAGTGCTGATTAGTGAAAAGCCAGTTAGAATTAAAATTTACTTCCATTGTTCATCAATCAGCGTTCGGTGTCAAAGTGCTGTTGCCGATCCGATATGAGGATTCAGCGTTCACCATATTTGGATAAAAAATATTGCAGCAATATTACAAAATATTGTAATTTTAATATTTTGTAAAAAATGTTGCAATATACCTATTGTTACAATATTACAATTTAGTAAATAAGTATGCGGCCCCGCCATGAGAGGGATATGTTTCTCCTAAGGAAAAAGAATCCTATAAGAAGGAGTACGCAAATGGAGTTAGCAAGTCTTCTGGAGATTCTTAACTTTTTCGAGACTTGTTCGGATTCCCACCTAGATATTCTCTAGCTATCATTTCATCCTTGTTTAACGTTCGATAAATAACAAGGATGAAGTATAATTCCTAAGTGGCACTCGGGAATCTGAACATAGCCTTGGATGTGCTTTCTAAACGAATATTTTTTTATCATAACTTTATCATATGTATTTTAGAATTTGATGCTAAACAATAATATGCAATAATTAGCAATTAATAAAACTAAAAAAGAATAATTATTGAAATATTACTTAATGTTACTGAAATATTGCATAATAATCTATTTTCACATACAAAAATACACATGCCGTACCATTTGAGTAAACCTAAGGGGTCGCTATGCTTGTCCTAATGTGTTGAATTTTTAACTTAAAATGTCATTTGTTACCGTTATTTGTTAGACTTCGTTTTTTGATCGGTAACAAATCATGACATTTTAGTTTAAAATTCGACACGTTAGGAGTATTAAGACTAGTTATGGCATGTATATTTTTGTATTTTTGTATGTTTCGCAGTTTTAGTGAAAATAGGTAGTGTCCAAAAAAACAGCCGGTAACAAATTTTTTTTTTCATTAAAAAAGTTATCACTTTAGCTTAGTTCAGTAACCCCTTTAACCCATAGAAACGATATAGCATCTACTTTCCGATTGGTTTTTTTGACGTAAACTATCACTAGAAACAAATATAGTTAGCAGATAACATATTAAGAAAAAAGTAAAAAAATTTTTACAACTTCAATCACACGTTATCAATTTTAAAACCATGGAGGGAAGTCTTACTTTCCTTCATCTTTACCTAATAAATGATGAATTAATGATGGTTTCAAGCGATAACAAATAAAGATTTTTGTGTCATCACCTCTCAGACTATTATATTCTTTTCTTAGAATTTTTTATAAGGGAGTTTCAGGATTTAATGAACAAACTATGGGAGCATATTATACAAGTGTATTCTACAAAAATAAGAAAAAAATATTATATGAAGTTTAACTAGAAAAATGCTTTTATTACAAAGTTATAAACAAATTTGAAACAGAACATGAAATAGAAAACAATGAATTTTACATTGCACAAAAAATAAATGTGTACATTTCATGGAAAGGTTGAATGTGTTAATTTCGTATGTATTCACATCATATTTACTTTAAACGACATGTGGCTGTATTCATAGTCAGATCTTGTACTTAAGGCTTCCTTAAATTTATCTTTAGATACTCAAAAGTTATAGTAAAATAATTCGTAGAGCATCTGAAGATAAATTTAAAGAAACCTTAAGTATAAAGTGATTATGAATACGGCCATATGTCATTTAAAGATAGTAAATATGATGTGAATACATACGAAATTAACACATTCGACCTTTCCATACATGAAATATACACTGTCATTTTCTACAATGCAAAATCCGTTGTTTAAATATAAGGCCTAACTATGAATACGGGCAATAGACAATAAGGAACTGATTAGATGGAAATTACACTCAAAGATGGATTGATTGAGAGGTCCGATCCTCTGGCCTTCAGGATCGCCAGATTTAATGTCTTGATTTTTCCTTATATGAAACTTTAAAAGATAAGGTTTATAGTACAAAGGTGACTTCGCGTAAAGATTTAATATAGCATAGAAGATTAAAGCAATATTGCTGCAATGTTACAATATTATAGATTGTAATGTAACATTGCAGAGATATTACAGAAATATAAATTAACAATATGCCTGCAAAATGTTAGTAATATGCTTGTAATATTCCTCAACAAATATTGCAAAACTGTAATTCTTTAATTGTTACAATAATAATAATATAAAAATATAAGTTTTTACAATATTTATGTAGTACAGTCTTTTAGTTTAATAGTTTTTATGATATAATAATTAATATAATTTATTTTATATTTTATATTTAAATAAAAAATTTATTGTTTTATTATTGATTTATTATTTAATGGCTATTTCATTAGCTAAGTTATATTTTAATATATATTTATTTTAAATATTTATTTTATATTTGAAATCAAAAGATTGTATAAGTTTGGATACAATCAATGCATCATTATCGGATAAGATTTTAAGCAATTAAGCTGCTGAAAACGATTTATCGAAATATTATGTGATGATATATTTATACCTGAACGCAAGAATAAACTAGCGCTCGAACTTTATTGATAAATTTCATACCGTCATTTTTTAATCGATTTCAATTGACTCGGAATGGTTTCGAATTAAAAAGAATCATTACGATTAACTTAATCCATGATAAACTTATCAAGCGACTGTATTATTATATTAATATGAATAATATATTTGTAGTTGTTCGGGGTACATACATGCTTTATCCTTAAGAATAAATTTATCCTTCAGAATTAATACTATATATTTATTGGAATATTTTATGATATTATCATAAAAAATTGCTTTTGGAAAGTACATATCACTAGAAATGCAATTTGTAGAAAAATTTAGTGAGATATATGTATAGAAATAGTTTTCATTTTAGAGTCTTCGTAAAAAATTTATCTAAATACATTACATTGCAATATTGCTGGAATTTTTGTTGCATTATAACGAAAAGCGGACATCTTAACATTGTTGGAATTTTGCAACAATGATTCAGCAATGTGTCGCAACTACCATGCAATATTACAATGTTTCAGTGAAATCATTCTGCAATGTTTCTGCAATCTTTCTGTGCTGTATGAGAATGCAATGAATTAATAATTCAGTTACAAGAAGCAACAAAATTTTCAGGAAATTCATACTGTAATAAGTTCCATATTATATCGATGTCAAGCTATTGCTGCGCAAGGATGACATTTCGAAATGCGTTATTATTAAGTGTGGGAAAAAGTTCGTGGCGTTTTTCCCGTTAGATGACATTAAAAAAACGCCATGAATTTTTTCCTACACCTAATATTAATTCTATTAATATTTTGCACAATGGAAAATCTATTATTTTCTGTTTTACACTTCAATATTTGTTTGTAAGTTTGTAATAAAGCATTTCTAGCTAAATTTCATATAAGATTTTTTCTTATTCCCACTTGTATGTAGAATATGCTTTTGCAGTTTGTCTATTAAATCCTAAAACACCCTGTATATTTTGAAATATTCTAAAATTTTTCATTCTATAATTTCTAAAGAAATATCGGAAACTTTTTCAAAGAACTACATGAAACACATTTCTAAAGTGCTAATAAAGTTTATATCCTTTCTGGAATTCTTTATATGTATATGCGTGAATTCTGAAATATTTTACAATTCTTTTTTACATTTCTTATTTATAATTTTATATATAATTTCACCATTTCATAGTTTCTAATAAAATCTTATAAAGGATCCTGTACAAAATATATGACCATGAAATGGATTCCAGCTAATTTGGCTGAATTTGTAATATGTTGTAGTTCTGATCAACAGTCCCCATGGGCACAAAATAAAATAATGAACAGTTTTTGTACATCAAATTCTGTCAAAACAGATTTGTGTCCAAATTGTGTGTGGAGATTTTTTTCACGATCAGAGCTACAACATATTACAAATTCAGTCATTAGTCAGAACCCATTTTCCGTATATTTTGTGCGGGATCTTTTATAAGATTTTATCAGAAACTATGAAATAGTGAAATTATATGTAAAATTGAGAAATTTTAAAATTGTAAAATATTTCAGAATTCACACATATATAAAGAATTCCAGAAAGGATATAAACTTTATTAGTACTTTAGAAATGTGTTCCAATTTGTATTTAAAAAAATCTAAAAAATTTTCTAAAAACTTACAAAGTTATTCAAATTTTGAAAAATTCAGAAGTTTACAAAAAAATTCTAAAAAAATTGTATAAAAATTCTAAAAAAAAAGTTACCTCGGATATTATAACAATATTTTATACAATCAGAGTATGATTTGATTTAAATGATCAAATTTTTTTACCACGATGTTTTAAGGTATGTCCAAAGGTAAATCCCTTGGGTCTATGTTCTTTGATCATGTACTTCGGTCTTGGACTTTTTGCCACTTCGAAGATGACACGACGACCTCCAAACGTATATGCTGGGTTTCGATATCTTGAAATACAATGATCTTTGTGACCGACAAGTGTCTTAAGACGATATTTAGGCCCTGGAGCTGTAAAATACATAATAAATTATGTATTAATAATTCTTATAAAATGGTTTTTGAATGTAAATACATCAAAAAGCAATAATGGCTATGACACATACTACTAAATTATTTATATAGTGTTATAATAATGTTTAATGTTTATAATAATGTTATAATAATGTTATAATAATGTTTATTTTTATCATGAGATTTAGTACTTTATTGGAATATTATATAAAGTTTGTTATATATGTTTGTTTTCACCTCCATATAATATCTTTATTTAAATTAGATGTGATGAATGCGTACTGATAAAGTGACATGTTATGGTGTTCTTTGCCTCTAACGTTTTTTTTTCATTTTTAGCAGTTCTGCGCTCCTTTTTTAATGGCATTTTTTTACTTGTATATTTGAAAATTTTATTTATGTATCATATATTACACATGTCATATTACTATAATTTTAATTCCATTCCAACGAAAAAACAATTGCTCATATAAATCATCTTAAAGCCCATGATGCAAGTAGACATGTGCCCGTATTCATAGTCAATCCTTGTACTTAAGGCTTCCTCAGGCTAGATAGCAGCCAACGAATTCGTAGAGTATCTAAAGATAAATTTAAGGAAACCTTAAATATAAGGCCTGACTATGAATACGAGTAATAATGTGTGTTTCTGCGCATATTTAGCTGCAACCAATCAGAGCTTAACATTTTTTCACCATTTTTTGGTGGATTTTGTCAATCAAAGAGATTTTATATATATATATAACAGGCAAAGCATAAGGTGTAAGTGGAAATGTTAGACAGTACAAAAGGAAAAAATACGGGATGGTCAAAGAGAATGGAGCGGATTCACCGAAAACCACCATGTTTAGTACACCGTTGAAGTGAATAGGAGATATAATAGGAACATACGATGCGCACACTAGTATTGTACTGCACTAGTATGTGGATGACATATGTATATACATACACACACATTCACATTTGCGAAAATGCACATGGCGGAATCCATCAGAGAAAAGTATCACTATCTGTTCTATTCTCCCTTGATTTTCTCTGGGGATGGCCATCTTTATTTTTATCTAATGTTGAGCCGCGCATAGAACTTTGAAAACTAAAAGAGGCGATATATTGCTCTCCTGAAATCTCCTCACCTAACAGTCAAAATCAACAGTGCGATTAAACAAGGATGGCCATCTTTAAAGTATCTATTATATAATAAAAGCCATATTTATAGTTAGAACTTATTCTTAAGAATAAGTTCACTTTAAGCATAGTCTTAAGATGCCCTTTAGGACTGCGTTCCAAAACTCTCTGAAGAAAATTTTACTCGAAATATATAGTACAAGTAACGTATACTAGCATATAGAGTAAAATCTTTTTCGAAGAGGAAGTTTTGGAACATAGTCTAGATTCATAGTCAAAAAAGAAGGCAGGATTTAAGTAACTCAAAGCAAGTACTCATAGCATACCTTGTTCAAAATTATTTTATTTGAGCTACATTCCAAAACTTCCTCTCTGAGGAAAATTTACTTGAAATATGTGTAACGTATACTATAGCATAGAGAGTAAAATCTTTCTCGAAAAGGGAGTTTTGGAATGTAGCCTTGGAAAAGTCTGAATGTGATTCATGAACACATCTAAGCATTTAATTGAGGCTAAAGTCCCATGAGATGTATTTATCGCGTATGGCGCGTAAGCAAAGAAGTAATCCGCTGTTGTGATTCGCGTTTTACTGATTATTGATTGGTTACGCGATACGCGGTTACGCGATAAATCTTATGGGACTGCAACTTGAGGCTATCTTGTTCATCATGAATTCATAGTTATTTTAAGATAGCCTTATTTCACGCATATATTGATAAACACGACGATCTTCGCGGAGATGTGTGCAAAAATGGAAGTAAGAATTACAACCTTCAATGATCTTGATTTTGATAAATTTTATCTATCAGATCATGATCCTAAACAAAATTCAAGAAGTTTTCGTCCATTCGACACTTCGGATAATGTTAATGCCAATGGTACTGTAATTTTCAAGTCTTATAACTCGAAAAGTACTTAATGAAAAAATATTTAGTTTATTATAGTGTTTTGCAAAACTCTTAAGGTAAGCTACAAGAACATGTAAAATGAGAGATTCCATTTAAAAAATTCATTCAAAGTGACTTTATCCTGACCTTGTCCTTAATAAAGCCACCCAAGGTCAAACCAATGGTACCATCTTATGTCCCCCTCGAAGTAAAACTTTTATTGGAAATATTTTCCTGTATCTTTTATATTTTACAAGATATTTCGATGCAAAAGTCGAAATGGAACACTCTGTATATGTATAAAAAATTTAAGTTATTTTTACTAGAGTGTAACCTTGACAAACATAGAATATAAGGAAGAACAATATATAATTGAAGGTGTGATATATAATATCATTGAAAGCATTGATGTTCATAAAAAATTATAATGATAGATAACGTAATATTTCATTTAATTTTATTGAAGCATTTCTAGTTTTCTATTTACAACATTTGTACAATCATCTTCCTTTTTTCTTGACTGCTCTCATTAAAATATTCTATCTGATTTAAATCTTCTATTTCATTATTTTCATTATTTTCAATCTGATCATTCTCTTCCTCTATCTCATTAAAGTAATTGTCATTACCTTCTTCCATTATAATAAAATTATGTAAAATGCAATATTTAATTAAATTATGCAAATGCATAATTAATTAAATCTAAGTTCTACATTTCTAAATATTTTTAGATAAAATAACTTTTCTTTTCCTTTTAGTAAGGCGTAAGTCATTTCTATCTTCAATCGAATAGAGCTTAACTTTTTATTATATCGTATTTGTTCTTGTGTTAAATGACCATTATCTTTAAATGGTATCATTAAAAAGGGACTTAATGGATAAGCGCTACCCTGATTAAATGATATTTTGCTGGAATTAAATTGTAATACATAATGTTTTGAAAGAGAGCTATTTCGGAAAACGGGGACATCATGAACTCTTCCTGGCACACCTATATATACATCTATAATTAATTTTTTGTTATTGCATACGCCTTGCAAAATAACACTATGAAAACTTTTTCTATTGTAATAATCCACTGAATTGTTATGTGGCTGCTATTATTTAAATATGGCAACCATCGATCGCACCAATTACTCCTGGTATTCCTTGAGAGCGATCTTGGAAGTCCTGCAAAAGAGAATTAGTCTAATATTTAAGTTGTAACCTAATATTTTATATCTTTTTTTTAGATGATATTCATATGGACCCACAGTACAATACAATTAGTGTTAAACAAATACGCAAAAAGAAAAATTAAATTTTGAATTTGGAATCCGAACATTAAAAAAAAATCATTATGGATCGAAATGAATTTACCAAATATAGTTATATAATAAATATCGAAGTCCTAGAAAATTTTAGAGACATGAAAAAACTTATTTAAAGATACATGATAATAATAAGATAAGTAGTACTGGAGGAAGTGCAATTTCATGGGAATATTATGATACCTTTTATAATATATTTGACAGCAATAAATCTGTTGCCATGAATAATGTACTGAGCAGTATGACAGAAAACAATGAAGTAATGAATCCAGATAGACAGAAATTGTCATTTCTTAGTCGAACGATTTTGAGTCTTGGAATTTAGTGGATAAAAAAATGCAGTTATCACATCATATAGTTCTGATGGAAAAAAGACTACTATTCGTGTTACATGTAAAATTTTAATATGTTTATCAGTATTATTAAGATCTTTTTAAATTGCCCTCAAGCATCAAATTATTATACTAATATTATATACATAATTCTATCGGGATTTTAAAATCCGACAAATCAATTCGCGCAATTTTTAATACATGTGCGGTACTGAATTTTTTAAGCACTTAAGATCCAGCTTCGACCATGTAAAGCATTTATTTCTTATTAGTTATTTATATATATAATATTATATATATAAGATTCTTTTATAGATAAGAAAACAAAGATAATATCGGCAAAAGAAACTATGATGAATTTAAAAAAGACTTTACAAGTTGAGAAAAACAAATTACGAGAAGCCAAAAAATACGTAAATCAATTAAAAAATTGGTACAGTTACAAATAGTAAAACGTAATAATATATTGTATTAATACATCTATCACAGAAAATTCCAAACAATCCAATAGACAATAGATTCCGGCAAAATCATTAACAGACGCAAAAGTAACACCAAGCAGGTCCTGCACAAGATCATTGATTATAGCGATGGGCAAAATATTACAGAAGTATTTCATTAAAATAAAGAAAAAAAAGGAAAGAAATAAAGATTAAAGATCTAACATGCAAAATGTTTTTTATAATTCTATTTTTGTACTTGCATATTGTTTATGTAATGATAAATATTTATTTTTTGTTTATACCTTATTTAGATATTGTTCATTACATTTTTGTGTATGCATTTTGCGTGTATGCAATTATTTTAATATATATAATTTCAATTCCATTTAAATATCAAGTTATATTTGTTTAAATTAGACTTGTAACATAAAGTACAATACTTATGTAATTATTATTTTATTTATATACACATGGAGATGTAAATATACATAAAAATATTACTCCAATATTTAGTTGATCATAATTTTATTTAAATACAATATTTTATATACTTTGTCTATCCATGATTACTTACTTTTGAAATAATATGGATTTCTGCCTCATTTGGCCACTTGACATATGTGCCCAACAATGAAGATAATGTTCTAATTACATTTGCATAATAGTGTACTGTACCAGGAACTATGTCAAACCTATCTCCAACTGCCAAAAATAATTCTGCTTTTGCTAATATCCAAACTGTCAATGCTACTTGTTTTTATAACAGAATAACATAATATTCTTTTTCATTCATATGCTGTCCAATAATGTTCACAAGCTGCTATAAATTATAAATTAACATCAATATAATTATAGTACAAATAAGTTTCCGCCGTTTTTTATAAAAAATTAAGTATTTATTGTGAAAGAACGGTACATAATGTTTTATTCAAAGTAATGGCCATCGCTAGCCACTACTTTTTCCCATCTTTCTGGTAGCATGTGGATACCGCGTCGGAAGAACGCTTCATGTATTGAGTCTATCCAATCATCGATACAATTTTTAGTATCTTCATATGATGTAAAGTGCTGTTCTCTGAACATGCGTCATCGATCGGAACAAGTGGTAGTCGGAAGGAGCAATGTCTGGAGAATACGGTGGATGGCGTAGAACTTCCCATTTGAGTATTTCTAAGTAGGTTTTGACCGCCGCAACTGTGGTCGAGCATTATCATGCAGGAGAATAATTTTGTCATGCCTGGAGTAGTAGTGGGCGCGTTTTTCCTTGAGTGCTCGGCTCAATCTCATCAATTGTTCGGTAGAGAGCCCCAGTAATGGGCTCGTTCGGTTTGAGCAACTCATAATACACGACACCAAGCTAATCCCATCAAATACACAACATGAGTTTTTTTCCATGAATATTGGCTGTCGATGTTGAAGCATGGCCAAGTCCCCATGATTTCTTCTTCTTTGGGTTATCGTAGTGGATCCATTTTTCATCATCAGTGACTATACGATACAAAAAACTCTTTCGTTTATGCCTGGCAAGCAGCATTTCACATGTGAAAAATCAACGTTCAACGTTTCTCGACTTCAGTTCATATGGAACCCAATTTCCTTGCTTTTGAATCATTCCCAACGATTTCAAACGATATGAAATTGTTTGTTGAGTCACTCCTAATGTAAGTGCAAGTTCTTTTTGCGTTTGGCACGAATCTTCATCCAATTATGCTTCCAATTCCGCGTCTTCGTACACTTTCGGCCTTCCGCTATGTTCTTTGTCTTCGACGTCAAATTCACCATTCTTAAACTTTTGAAATCACTCACAACTTCTCTCACTTAAGGCAGCATCACCATATGCTTCTACAAGCAATCTACGAGCTTCAGCTGCAGATTTCTTCAAATTAAAGAAGTAAATCAAAAGTTCCCGCAAATGACGCTTATTCGGCTCAAAACTCGACATTTTCGTACAAAAAAAAATATATGATGCTGATACAAAATCGCTAATATTTCAAGGTTATGATGTTGCCGGATGTCTTACGATGTCGTTTTACATCAAACAATTTTAACTATAGTTTATTAATGGCGCCGTCTTTTGTAAACGGCGGAAACTTATTTGTACTCCCAATATATATATATATAATTATTATAGTTATTAAATAATAACTATAAAAAATATATTTTTTTGTAGCTTTTAGGGGATATAATAACAATACCACAATCAACAATTTCACGAATTGTATTTAGAGTGTCCACTTTATTAGCTAGCTACATTAATCAATATATAAAAATGTCGTTATCACAAGAATCATGTTTTAAAAATAAACGATTATTTAAGGAACTTGGATATGAT